TAGACACATAGATCAATGGCATAAAATAAAGAACCCAGAAATAGAGTCATCCAACTAAGTTCAACTGATTTTGACAAAGTCGCAAAAGCAATCCTGTTAATCTGTTGGAGGTTGAAAAATACTGGGCCTGGCTTACCTTCTTTCGGTGGGTGGAGGGAAATAAGACACTCTGCTGCAATGTTGTTCTGCCCTTCTTGGGGTCCCTAACAAGTCTTTCTTCCTCTTTCCATCTTTCTGACTTCCCCTTTGGTTGTTTTTTGCATTATATCATGAATTTATAGTTATACTTAGAGGGGAAGATCAGGGAGAAATGAGTCTATGCCAATTCGTATGGACCAGAAGTCTTCTGTGTACTATTTTTGCAATGTCCTATGAATGTATTATTTTTCAAAACAAAAATTTAAGAAGAGCACATATGTGGCTGACATTATATTTCTATTTGACTGCATTGAGTGGTTTCATTGAATGGTTAATGTAACTCATGGCTGAGCCCTTTAAAATCACTATGGTGATTATTGCCTTCCCTCCCCTCCTTCCCCTGCTTTACTTCTAGCATCTCCTTCCAATAGGATATTATGTTGTAGGCCTAGAAATATTATGGCAGCATAGTTTCTATTTTCTTTGCCATTCTGAGGTTTTCAAAATATTTACAAGGTCATTTCCTGCTTCTTCATGGCCTAGATCTGGCCTTCTAATTCATAAATTAACAGACCAGCCTTTTAGGATACTGATATTAACTGAGGGAAATCTCTTTTCTGCTTGAGGTTTGAGGAAGTAAGAGCTGGCTCAAGATTTCTCTCTTATTTTGTTCCAGATGTCAGTTTTTGAACAAGTATGAATCATATTTTGTAGTTTAAAATTTTGAGTATTTCTGTTTCTTTAAAGATAGAGTTTTATCCTCTGTAATTTATTTTCACTGTTTTCTAAAGTATTACAAGAAAGGAGAATAGGGTAAAACTGCCTTTTCTCATTTTTTTAAAGTCCTGATTTACTTTTTTGATACTGGGTATCTGGCACTAAACAGACAAAACATATGGCTAGTTGATTTAGTTGTGTTATTACTTTAATATTTTTGAGTCAGACCTATATGTTTTTAAGAGGAGTATAAATGCAAAGGTACAAAAAAATTGATTCTAGGATTTCCTGTCTTTTTCCTAAATGTATTTTTTGTTTTTACAGAGTACTTCCTTTTGTACTTCTTTCACATAGAATTCATCGTTAATAAACTTTCTGAGCTCTTGCATGTGTGAAAAGAATTCTTGCTTTATAAGCATATTTCTTCAGAAGTGTGAGGCCATTGATAAATGTTCTCTCTACATTTATCACTGTTGGTGAAAAATCTAATGCCAATGTAATTCTTGTCATTTTGTATTTTTTTATTTGTCTGGAAATTTTTAGAATGATAGTGAAAAATTTTTAGAAATTTTTAGAATAATAGTGTGTCTATCACTATCTGTGTCTATGTGTGGGTCTGTTTTGTTTTTAAATTCACCTCTAGGTGACTTAGTTTTTTCAATTCTGAACATTTGTCCTATTTTTTCTTTGTCTATTCCCTCTCTTTGTAATTTCTATTTTCCTCTCCTGGAACACTCCATTTATACTATATTGGAACATCTTGAGCTATCCTACATATCTTATGAGTTATATGTATCCATTCTTCGACTCTATCCTGGGAATACTATCAACCTTAATTTTGACTTCATAATTCTCTCCTCAGCTGGGTTTGTTTTTCTATTCAATTTATCTACCGCATTTAAAGAATTTCAATGCTTAAAATTTAAATTGCAAAAATCACTACATATTTTTTAACAGATGCAATATCCATTCACATTTATCTTGGAATATTAGATATACATAGTCTAAAGCTCTTTCTATTTGGCCTATTAACTTCTGTTAATTCTCTGTTGAGATTAGTATCTCTCTTTCATTTTCTCAAAAATTAGCTATTCCTGGTTCTTTGTATTTGAGATTTCTAATTAGTGGGTCTTCGAGTTCTATGCATGTTCTTCATATAGCCGAGATTGTGGGGATGGGCAGATAACTTGCTATGTGGGGAATGTCAGTAAATTTCTGGACATGGAGCTCCTTGATTCTTTCTGAATATGATTAGATATCCAAGTACCTATAGGCGTGATTCCCATCTGAGAAGAGATGTCTTTGACATGCTGCTGCTGGGAAGGAGGGGACAGGGGCAAACCAACTGGCTGCTACAACTGGACCCCAACTAGTAACCTTGACAGTTACACTAAGATTCTCTCTTGCTGTTTTGTTTGCTCCCTCTGAGCTTGGAGCACCTCCAAGGACCTTTGCCATTAGTCCTCTTCTACAATTGTTTTGGGCTACCATTTCCTCATTTAGTCTGATCCTGTGTGCTTTCTGTCTTTTAGAATTGCCTCATAATTGCTGGTCCACTCAAGTCATTCTTTCCTGTTTCCCAATACTTTATACAGATGTTTTTTCTGTCATTTTTGGGATTTGAGGTGAGAGAGGGAGATTAGAACTTGTGCTGAATGTGGCATCATAATCTAGTCTCATCATTGATATAAAATCAGACCTGGAATTTCAAAGTATTTTCTCCACACCTAAATTCTCCTTAGGGAGAGTGGTTTTATAAATTATCTCTAGCAAATATTGAACCTGAATCTAATTACCCTCTAGATCTTACTACCAGATTCTAGGAAATATGGAAAATAGAAGAACAAATTAAGCACAATCATAAATAATCAATCAGCTAAATTCCAGGTATGAATAACTATGTAGGGAAAGCAACTTAGTTTCTTCAGCAAATAAATGTCATGGAAAAAAAAGTGTGTATGGGTGAACTATTATACACTAAAAGAGACTAGAGTGACATTTCAACCACGTGCAATTGAGGAAACTTTTTGATTTGAACAAACTAGTTAAAAAAACAAAACCGGAGAAATTTTTAATAAATATGGACTTGTTATTAGTTGATATTAAAGAATTATCATTAATTTCATTTGATGTGATAAAGGCATTTTAATTATGTTTAAAAAAAAACCCTTATCTGTTAGAGCAGGGATGAGCAAACTATGTCCCACCATCTATTTTTGTAAATAAAGTTTTATTGGGACACAGCACACCCATTTCCTTACATATTGTCTATGGCGGCTCATGCACTACAACAGCAGAGATGAGAAGTTGAAACAGAGACAGTCTGGCCCATTAAGCCTAAAATATTTACTATCTGGCCCTTTACAGAAAAAGTTTCTCAATCTTGTGTTAAAAAGATGTATTGAGGTTTTATAGGTAAAAGATGACATTTGGAATTTCCTTTAAAGTAATCTGGCAAAACAAACAAGCTTGGTAAAGATAAAACAAAGTTGGGAAAATATTGATAATTCTTGAAATTAATAATGACTATATGGGGATTCCTTAGCTAGTCCCTCTACTTTTGTGTACATTTGACAAATTCTATAATCAATTTTTAAAAATAAATCATCTCATGTATCCTTAGTGCACATGGAAGTTTTGAGTTTGAAATTTTTTAGTTCTGATTTATAAAGCAAGTAGAGATAGAAGGGAAAAGTTGAAGGTAGAGGTTATTTGTTGAGAACTTACTATGTGACTGACACTGTGCTAGGTGCTTGACAAATTGCTCTTAAAAAAAGAAAAAAACCTTTATAACAACTCCTTGAGCTGGATATTAGGATTCGTGATTTACTGATGAAACACCAGGGCTTAGAGACATTAACTAATTTATAGCTAGGAAACAGCAGCGCAGGAATTTGACCCTTGCCTGGGTCTCATTCTTAGCCACTGTTATCACTGGGCTCACATGTCCATATTGCTAAGTGGACAAGCCGTGGCCACACATCCATTTAAAGATCAAGAAATGTTTCACAACCATGTAGATTCTGTAATAGAAGACAAATACTGGAGCCTTCAGTTGAGAAGTTGTTTCATCAATGCACCATTAGCGTTAAAGATGATTTGGAGTCTTTCTAGTCAGTGTTGCAGTTGCTCAGTTTGCCTGTTGTCAAGACTGCTGCTTGGTTCCCAAACCCACTTACCTTTTTACATTTCTCTCTCCTATACGATTCAAAGCTTAGCAGAGACTATGTTTCTATACCTCCAATACTAAACCCAGTTCCTGGAATAATGGGAGATGCTCAATATATGTTTACTAAATGAATGACCAAGAACTTTCATGTCACAATCTCATCCTCATGCAGAAAGTCTCTTTGTGCTGGACATTGAGGCAGAGACAGATTATAAACCTCCAGATTCCAAGTAAGTACTCTTGCTGCATATTAAGTGCTCAACCTATCAATCAGGGGATAATTTATTTATTTTTTGATTTTTCTGGTTTTCCAGATGATGGAGAAGACATCATAACATGTTTCTTAATCTCTGGAGTAGTTTTGGTGGCAGAGGCCTGGGGGAGGAGTGATGTGGTTGGGTCAGTTGCTCTAGTTTTGAAGGTTAATGTCAGAAGTGTTACATGCTTATTCTTGCCTTTGCTGATTCTAGTCTACTCAACACCAGTTGACCTTTGTCATTTCCCCAGAGATTTCAAGCAAATGAGTCATGCTGGGGGTGCCTTAAGAAGGGGCAAGAGATGGCTACTCGATGGCAGGAAGGGGATATTCAACGAGTTTGAAGTACTGTGTCTTACAGGTAAATAGGATGTGACTTTCTCCCAGACCCGAGAGAGCTGCAGGCCCTGCCTCCCACAGCGGAAGGCTAGACACAAAATCCCCTCACTCAATACAGAAGGTTCTCACCCCAGAGTGACAATTCTAGGTTTGCCTTGCTTCAGTATGGGGAAATTCAGTCAATTTTTCAGCGAGCAGAAGATGATGGCTGGTTCATTCCAAGAAAATGGCGGGAATAGGTGGAAACACATACACACACTCAGTAAACCTCTAACTTTTATTCCTGCCTAATAGATAGCACATTTTCTGCAAAAATTATGAGTTAAATATAATTTAATGGAGATAAGGTATTTAAAATATAATTGTGACAATTTAAAAAAATCTTATCGTGAATACAGAATGCAAAAGAGCTAGTAAACAAAACAAAACAGAAACAAAATAAATGAAACAAGAACAAAACCTCCTCAACTTTGAGATAGTACATTGGTTCCTCTTCTTTCCTAGGTCGAAGTTCCCTGGAGCAACTGTTGAGATCAGACTCCAGAGTAGAAGGTAATTATTGCACTGAGAGCGCAGATCTGATTCACAGAAGCAAGTCTATGTTCCAGACAGGCAGCCAAGGCTAAGAGGAAGAAATCGATGTCTTCTTCCGGTCCCCTGAGGTCTCAGGGAAACGGAGGCTTTCAGGACAGCAGGGGCCGATGCCTCAGTGCAGCTCTCCTTAATTTGCCTGAGTCCTTGAGCCTCATTTAGATTTACAAATGGGTGCTCTCCTGGTCTGTCGTGTCCAGTTGCAAGTATTCCAGGGTGCCTTTTTTGTAGCTGGCTATCCGAGTTGGTTTTCGGTTTCTTACTCCTGTGGCCTGTCTTTTCTGCAAAGAGCTGGCAATCATGTCTGAAAACTCCGCTTGCAAGCGCTGTTGATTCTCCCTGGAAAGAGAGTGGGGAGGGAAAATGGAACTTCTCAGCAATTCATACAGAATATTCCTTGGCTCCAGAACAATCAGTTCAGGTTACCAAATACTTATTGAATGCTCATTCTGGGCTAAACAGAGGAAGTCCAGAGAATACAAAATGAGCCTTGCCTTTGATGAGCTTAAAGAACTGTCATCCCTGTTCTGTGTAGTTCTAGAAAAAGCAGAATATTCCAAGCAGAAAATTATATTTCAATTTCAAAGTGTAAAAGATGCTGCTAGAATTTGGAGGTGCGGTTAGGTTTACATATGCCACTGTAGAGAGGGGAAAAGAAGCCAGGACAATGCTAGGCCTCCGCAACACAACCCTGAAAACGTGTTGGTCCTACACATTCTTAGGAGTGTGGATCTTGTCTGGGGAGGGCTCAGAATGGATGGAGGGTTTCAAGAGTTTGGAATGGACCTGGGGCACTCCTAGTAAGGGGCCAGGTCTCCTGTGCCCTGGGGAAGATCTGGGTTGTTCTGGCATCTCTACAGGCTTGCCATTTTTCTGGGTCCAGCATCTAGGAGGCTGCAAGACAGGGTTTCTCTACCATAGCAAAAGCCACAGCAACAGCCGCACGGCTGATTGCAGCAACCAGTGTGCAACTGCTTGACCATTTAAGTCACCTTGAGGGGAACTGAAACTTGTTAGTTAGACCTGAAACCTTGTCTTCCTCATCTCAGGGAGAACACAAGCTCCCTGTGAAGACCCAAAACCGCAGTGCCTCTGCCTCCAGCATGCTCTACTCTTGTTGGAACCAGACGTGCAGGAGGTGAGCCCTCAACGACCCTCTGCTCTCCTGAGCATGCCTGGAACACCCAGTTTCTAGCAGCCAGAGAAGGGAGGTTTCTAAACTTCTCATGTATGTAGTCCCTGCCCTTGTATTCAATACATCATTGCCACTGGCAAAATACTTGCCAATAATTAAATTGGTTATACGTAGCACAGCTTACAAAGCCAAGACCTCCACTCCCCTGTCCCTTCCCGCCACACCCAGCAGCTTACACAGTAGGAGGGGTTGGCAGGTTGTACTCCTGGTCCTTCACCCCAGTCAGCCAGTAGGTGGTCTCAGTTCCTCTTCCCTAGTGAGACAAGGAAGGTGTGTACCATGGAGCCCAATGAGACAGTTCAGTTCCAGCCTGCCATTCTGACACGTATCCATTCCCAAGAGACATTTCACCTCCACATTTCTCATCAGTGCCTGTATTTCAGTACAGCATTCATTCCTGATGTGATTTACATTATGTCTAGACAGGTCTTTATTTCTAAGCACCTTTTTAAAAATAAGTCTCTCATTCACATGTTTTTTACAAAGTAGAGTTTTCTTTTTTCCCAAAAATATTTCAAAATATCACTATAGCAACATCACAAGAACTCTAAATTAAGAAGGAAGAAAATTCATCTACAAGCCTGCTGCACCCACAAATCCAACGAGTTTCCATCATCCACATTTTCTTCCAGCCCTCTTGGCCACAAAATTTTGCCTCAAAACTTTTGGTACAGTTTCCCCATCTGAAATGTGTATACTATAAACATGTGGGCATCATAATAAACACTCATTAAGTGACATTTGTTGGCCCCATCTGGAGGCTATAAAATGAATGGAAACTTACTGGAAATCCTGATTTTGCTAGAGCTTGTATTTGAAAAGGAGATTTGATGGATACATATTTAAAAATCACATCTATTTGGGGGGGGAATTCTCTGGGCAGAAAATGGACTTATGGAGGACTCCAAAAGTGAGTGTAATGTTAGGACACTTCTACATAACAAGAGGCTTTCTCAAGTTGCAATCACAGTGTAAAGGCCAGAAGCACCATGGCTACTGGAGACAGAGAACCTTACAGTCAATAGTTGGCTTCAGACAGGTTGTGAAAAGATTGTAATGATCTTCGAAAAGCAGACTGAGAGCCAACTGGAGATGTTTGGCGGGTCTGGAGGGCAGCTGTTCTAAACGTGAGGAATAGCATGGAGAGTCTAGAGTAGTGGTTCTCAAACTTCAGTGTGCATCACAATCATTTAGAATACTTGCTTAAAAGATGGATTCCTGATCTACGCCCACAGAGAGTCTTACTCAGTAGGCCTAGTGGAGAGTCCAGGCATCTGCGTTTTAACAAGGACCCAGAAGACACTGAGTCAGAAGCTGGAGGCCAGACCTTGCGATTCTTTGGCCCAGAGCTTCAGAATGGCAAAGCAACTGGCAAGAGAGGTGGCCTTAGAGAGTAGCAGCATCTTGCTGTAAGAGCAAGGAAGTAAGTGAGGAGATGGGGCTTTGACTTAAGTTAAATACATCCTGAACCAGACTGTAGCCCTCGGGTTTGAAGGGGGAATTGGGGACAAAACTTGGATATATGTGGAAGAAATGGTGGCAGCATTTTATAACATCTTGGTCAAGTTCAAAACATCAAAGTGGCTCTTTGGAGTAAAGGAAAGTTCTGGGTTCACATTCTTTGGTGGTGGCTTTTCCTAGTGGGTAATCATTGAGGCAAGCAGAGAAAAGGATTCTTTCTCTCCATGCTCCTCAACATTATTGACCACCCGATGTCCAGTCTCAAAGGAGGTGGCCTATGGGTGTCAGTGAGGGCTTTTTCTGGGTACTATCTCTGTGGATCCCTTACCTTTAGGTACGTTTCTCCTCTCACTTCATACAGGAACTGGCACTCAGTTCTCTTCAGGATGGAGATTGTGGAGCCGCTCACATGAATTCTCAAGGCTGGAAATGCAAAATACATAAATGAAAATCTCGCCCATTTTGAAATCTATTATATGGCCACATTCATTTCCCCTTGATTTAGGACATTTATTACAGGTGTTCTTGACAGCTTAGCTATTTTAGTGAAAGAACATGTAAAAACACAATCAGTGAGATAAGAAATATTATCACACATGGGAAGAAAGAGGGTCTGGCACTGTTTTTCAGGGTCCTGAGTGAAGGGGCTCCCCAGGTTGTGCTCCACAGATCTCTTCCCAACTCAGAGTGTAGCCCCTGGGCCTGGTTTTGGATTTAGTTTGTGGTGCTGAGCCTGAGAGTTGGAATTTGGTTTTTGGGTCCATGTGTAAAAGTTCTAAGTAGCTTAAGTGTTAGTGGCAAGGTAGAGATTCAGGAGAGAGTTATAGGGTCTTGATTTTCACACATTTTACTCTTCTGGGATACTGTTATCCTTTGGACAAACAGGTAGTAAGTGCATTCCCATTCATAGGTCCATTGCTGTATAGCACCTTTCCCACAATGGGAGCCACAGACAATAAAAAGTAAGAACGATGGCAACCCTATATTGTATGACTACCGTGTAACAGGATTGCTAAATGCTTAACACATATTGTCTCCTTCCAGAAACCCTTCCAGTAAGGTTAGTATTCCATCCTCAATTTATATCTTCAACTTTCTGATGCCTAGAAAGATGAGGTCACTTTCCCCCCAATTTATACAGACAGTGATTAGCATAGCTATGATTTTAACCCAAGCCTGTCTGATCCCAACCTTATTCTTTCCTTTACACCATGATTTTCCAGTATAAACCAGTATCTGGTTGTCAGTAGACCACCAAAATACCATTCTACCACCTGTGTTTTTGTAAGTCCCACCTACTCTCCAATGCTTTCTTTCTCTTTTGTGTATATTTCTACTATCATTGTCATCAATATTTATTGAGCATCAACTACATGCAGCACCTGAAGTCTCTACCTTGTCAGGCAAATACAACATACTCTTTTGCATATAACAAATACTTATACTTTTCTTTACTAAAACCAATTCCCAGGAAAACCAAATAAAAGAAGAATAGGAAAGTGAACTAGGGTATATACTCCATATCTAGGCCACTGAATTTTTTTTTAATTTACATGAATCTACGCTAAATTTCATGACTACTCCAGGTAGACAAGCCTGAATGCATTCAAATGAACCAAAACTAATATAAATAGTTAAAACTGAGTTAAAAGGTAGAATAAAATAACAATCAGTAAATGGTGACAACCAAAGCAATTGTAGCAAGGACTGGATTGACACAGGCTCACGTTTGGTCACTGTGAGGGGTCATTCTTCATCTCACTGGCACCTTGTATCTCCTTATTGTGCATTTTAGCCTACAATTCCCTTCTGTTGGAAGACAGAATCTTTGTCCTCTAAGAAAAACTATCTCCCTTCTTACGGAGGCCAGTGGATTCCATCCTTGAGGCTGTGTTGACGGTATCTCCAAATAGGCAATAACGAGGCATCTTGATCCCCACTACTCCTGCGGCACAGGGACCTGAATGGACAGAAAGGAGGAAGTGAAGGGGACAGAAATCGCAGAGTGGAGTTAAGGTGGGGAAGCCTCTTCTCAGGGTCACAATGCTGAATGCTTCATTTTGTGCAGAAGTGGCTGAAGGTGTGCAAAGTGAGCCCTGACTTTTGTGTTTAAATGAATGTATTCAACAAGGGAAGCATCATTATTCAATACTTGCTTTCAGAATGTATTTTGCTCTAGGGCAGAAAAGTACATTTGCATTAAACAAGAAGGCATCCAGAGATCCAGGCCACAAAGGTGGGAAATCCTTCTCAATACCTTAAACAGAAGCTCTCAGGAAGGATGAAGATTATCCCACTGCTTGCTTACAGTGCCAAGCCACACAACCCTGAGCTCTGAACTGCTGGAGAGCACAGTATACTCGAAGATCTCCATGGCCCATGTTTGTTCTATTTTTATTTTAGTCAGAGTAGCATTTCTGGGATTGGTGGCATGCTGATGGAAGGCCCAGAAGGCAAGAACTTGGCATAATTTTCTCTGAGCATTTCATGTGCCATGTGAAAGCAATGGGATAGAGGAGCCTGTGGCACAAGAACATTCCAACAAGAACAAAAGCCCAAGCAAGACTGTGCATAGCAGCATATTAGGCTGGGAAGAAGGGTTGTTCAATCAATATTTGTGTGGAATGAATGAATGCAAGGAGTTAAAGATTTTCGAAGTTAAAGATTAACTCAGAAACTGTAAAACCGGGTTTTGGATGGAGGAAACTATTGATTTTAAAGTTGGCTTATTGGGTTTTGATCTATATGAGTTTCTTTATAGATTTATTCTATTAATATTCTGTTTATGAACATTGAAAAAATACTAAATCTTTCCCGAGTGCTGAGTCATTCCCTGTTAGGTTTGATGCAAAACAATATAAAATAAATAAACAAACAAACAAAAATCAAAGAAAAGCAGAAAAAGCCTACAGAAGGGAAGGAGCAGTAGAGGCAGCTACTGGATCAGAAAATCTCTGATCTCTGTCTTAGGTCTGGTAGGTCTAATTACAAGTGACACTTCACTTCAAAAATGGAATGATAGGGGCCGGCCCGGTGGTGCAAGCAGTTAAGTGCACGTGCTCTGCTGTGGCGGCCTGGGGTTCGCCGGTTTGGATCCCAGGCATGCACCGACGCACTGCTTGGCAGGCCATGCTGTGGCAGCGTCCCATATAAAGTGGAGGAAGATAGGCACGAATGTTAGCCCAGGGCCAGTCTTCCTCAGCAAAAAAAAGAGGAGGATTGGCAGATATTAGCACAGGGCTGATCTCCTCACAAGAAAAACAAAAAAACAAAAAAAATGGAATGATAAACCTAGGAAGGGCCTGGTGGTGGAAAATCCCTGAAGATACTATGTCATGTTTTCAACTATCAATATTGAACTGCAATCTTTTAATCTCTTAGGGCTAACCCCCTCCAGGTATGTATGCCTAATATCTATTCTCATTCCAGCCCTATGTGGTAGTGCCTGGGCCCTGGCAGTCAGCTCAGGCATTGAGTAGGTCACAGGAGAGAAGAGACAGGGCCAAGACCCAGAGCTCCATTCTCCCTGACTTGGTTCAGTCCATCCTGCTGCTGTCCCTTCCCAGGCCTGACAATTTGCAATGGGTCAGAAAAGAGACAATATGCTGTTGCTGGCTAGGGAGGTGCCTAGGAAGTTCCCTCATGTGTATATGGAAACATCTATGACATATGGCTGTGGACACGATTGGGGAAGGCCACAGCTATGTTCCTGGCTGTCAGAGATGTAGCAGTAGTTTTTAACTTCTATTCACTTTGAGAATCTCACTGATTCATTACTCAATCAATACGTATTTACTGTCAGGCTCTGCGCTTGGCACTGCGGACACAGGATGACTTTTGCAAATGCAGTTGTCTGGTTTTTGCCACAAAGCCTGGAGTGATCTTTCAGGTTTTCTGTACTCTGGGTCTTCTGTGAGGCTTAGAGGGAATAAAAATGAGCAATGACATGAAATATAGGGAGATGTGATTTAATTTAACACAAGGAAAAACCGTCTAATGATTACAACTATTCAATAATGGAGTGAGTTGGCTTTGGAAGTAGTGAGTTTTCAGAGAATCCTGGGATTATTCTAAAAGTGGCTATATTATTACTTATCTTGTAATAAATCATGCCCTGTAAAAGATTAAACTAGATGACTTCTGAGTTTCTTTCCAACTATATTTTTCTATAATATTTGTAACTCATCTTCTCAAATCTCTACACTCAAGGCTGGGTAACTTTCATGGTCTTGGAAGTGATCCATATACTTTGTGTACTTTTGAGGGAAGTAGGGGGGACATAAATGCTCTTTTATTATAGGAATTTGACCAGCTATTTTTCTCTCCTATAGGTAATGTAATCCATTTAAGACACTATAATATTTTAGTGGAAAAAAATATACAGAAGTTGGTGGTAACGGAGAGGGAGGGAATGGAGAGTACATAAATGAAATAGTAAATAAAGTGACTTAAGAAGTCTGGAACTTGTTATTTTAGTTTATGGTTGGTGTTTTTCATTCCAGGAGTCAAAGGTGCTGTCAAAGGTGGTGCTTCATAGAACTCTCTAGGGACTGGGTCTAACTACGTCAGGCTATGTAATAGGACCTCATATTTGGCAGACAAATTCAAGAGTAAACCTCATCTGAAAATTGATCACATTTGAAGACCCTTTATCCCTCCTGATTTAGTTGGTGCACAGAGGTACATATGGTTCCCACTTGCTATAATGTTCAACTCCATACCAGAGTGAACTCCAATGCGAATCCATATTGGGAGGCCAGGAAGATGCTCCAGCTCAAAAGTCCCCATGAAGCTGAGGATATCCAAGGCCATCTTGGCAATGTCTATTGCATGCCGATTGCCATTTCTCTTAGGCAAACCACTAGCCACCATGTAGGCATCACCAATGGTTTCCACCTGTGGAAATAGTTTCTCATCAATGAATCTGCCCCTTCAAAAGGCACAAGAAATTAAACAGAAGCAGTTAATCATGTATCAAAAACAAAAGTTTTTGAAAACTCAGTATGAGCATAGCCTTGTACATTTTTTCTGGGACCCATTTAAGACCAGTTCTATGCTAATTTCTTTAGGGTTTTTATAGTCTAGTTAAATGGATGATAAAACAGCTATAAAGGATTTTAATCATATGAAAGTACTTCATAATAATATAAATCATCCAGATGTGGTGACAATTCTATAATTGTTTAAATAATCTGAATGGTTTTATTTAACTTTAGGAATACTTTCTTTAGCACTTATCATTTTTCACGTACTACTTGACAAAAAATAATTGTAGCTTCCTCCAAGATATAATACACATTCTTGTGGTATGGTGATTCCAAACACTTTTCTTGTAATAAGTAGTAGATTTATACTAGTAGTATCCGATAAACATTATTCTTTGATAAATGTCCTCCCTTTTAATTTTATTTTCATAATCATATGCATAGTTCACATTTGTTGGTTAGTTAACTTCTTTTTGCCAGCTATCTCTAAAACACATAGTCATTTTCTATCCAACAAACTGTTGTTGATATGGCTTTCTGACCTTTACATAGGGTAAGGATTGGGCTAAGACAAACCCTAAAAGTGAAGTCTTCTCTGTGAGTAATAACCATTATGACAGACTGTTATATGAGTGAACCTCTAAGCTTTACTTAGGGATACAGTATTTCAGGCATATTGTTTATCTCAATAATCTTCACAATAACCCACTGAGTTAGGTATTATTATCATCCCATTTTACAGATAGGTAAACTGAGACTTGATGAAGTTAAATATATTTTATCAGGTCACAGAGTTAGGTAGGGGCAAATTGGGATTTGAATGAAGAGCTCTAATTCTGAAATTACTTGTTCTTTATGCTCTGCTTTTTCCACCATGAAAGTGTGGGAAGTCAATTCTCCAGTATTCTTCTGACTCAGACATGATTAGCCTGGAACAGGTCAGCTCTCGTCAAGTAATAGATCCAGTCCTGAACTTACTGAACGTTCTCCCTGTTCTTCGTTAGTCTTCTTTGAATGAAGCTATTTCAATAACGATAAAAGATTTATACTCTACTTATTATAACTCAGGTGTCTTCTCTGCTTATTTTTCCATCAGCCAAAACACTGTCCATTTTTTTAAGATGATTTGAGACTATGACATTTTCTCTAAATTTAGTACACAAAATCCATTCCTGCTGAACTTTGTGTTGTCTCTTTCACACTGCTTCTTAAAGTCACATATTCATTTTGACTCCTGACCCTTCTTATTCTTCCACTTCCCTTCACTTTTAGCTCAGATTCAGCCACCAATTCATTAAATCTTAAGTTAGAGAAGACAAGCCCTGAGTAATAACAAGAATAACCAATCCCAGCTCCGCTGACCTGGAGCCATACGATCATTTCAGGCTGTCAGGTGAGTGGTTACCTTGTACACGTCATGGTGATCAACAATGTGGTCGAAGCTCTTATAGACGTCATTGAGCATGTCCACCACTTCCATGGGGGTGCTGTATTTGCAGATAGTGGTGAAACCTACAATGTCGCTGAAGTAGATTGTCACTTCCTCATATAGTTCAGGTTCCACAAAGCCTTTCTCCTTCAGAGACTTTACCACTAGCCTAGATGGGGAAGGAAAAAAATGCCTTCAAATTCAGTAAATTTTTTCTTCCCTTACATAAATCTTTGAAACAGTGGTAATTGCCTACCAGGCATTCTAGAATTGGGGATTTCCAGTGAATTGGGTGGCTGGAAAGCAAAGATAGGCTGCATATACTATATATATGAACATATTACATACATGTTCATATCATACATGTATTTGAACTCAGAAGAATACAAGCAGGTTCAGCATTAACTTAGTACTTGATTATTAACCCTAATACACATATACACATAACTCTAATACCTACATAACCCTAATACATATATACACTTGCCCACTTTTCACCACTCTATTGATAGTCAGCTTCTTCTAGATACAGCTCTATATCCAGAAGCTAAGAGGGAGATTGTGTGTCATTAATGCAAGAGCTTGTATCACTACAGCTACCAGATCTGACTTTCTCATCAGAGCCAATTGTTTCACCTCCTAGGCATATTTAACACGGTATTGTTTAATATCACTATGAAGGAACAATGCATTTAAAAATTAATTTTGAGGTATTCTTTTTTTTTTTTAAAGATTTTATTTATTTATTTTTTCCCCCCAAAGCCCCAGTAGATAGTTGTATGTCATAGCTGCACAACCTTCTAGTTGCTCTATGTGGGACGCGGCCTCAGCATGGCCGGAGAAGCGGTGCGTCAGTGCACGCCCGGGATCCGAACCCGGGCCGCCAGCAGTCGAGCGCGCGCACTTAACTGCTAAGCCACAGGGCTGGCCCAATTTTGAGGTATTCTGAACCAGAATTTATTTGATGTATTTTGAACCAGATTTGGGTCCTTTAAAAAGCAAAGTCAATCACCATGTAAACAAGTAAAATTATGCTAAAATTGCAGAAGTCAAATAGAAGCGACTTAGAATATCTTTGTTGCAGAGACATAGGGAGTAGTATATCAGACTCTGAATTAATTAAGAGAGAAGAACCACAAGAAGGCACTCCATACTTCCTTTACATGCCAACTTGCCTTTTCACTGAGAAAATGTAGTGGGCCTGACATAAACCTGGATGCTCCCTGTCTGCCCTTGAGATCATTTTGTACAGGACCCGAGTATGGAACCACTAGAAGCTGAACCTGGAAGCTGGGAGGTGCCATAGAGATCATTGAGAATAAATCTCTTATTTTTACAGATGAGAAAGCTGAGGCTTGAAAAGAATGTATGACTTTCTCAAGATCCCACAGTCACAAAGGGCAGAGCCAGTTCTAGAACTCAGCAACATCCCACCCTTCAGTCTTTTTATTGTACCACACGTCCTCCACAGCCTAGGCCTTGGAGATTCAGAGAGATGAGGAAGATCTGGAGGTGGGCTGATTGTATCAAAGGAAGAACATCTGGCGTTCTCCCGGAAAACAGCTGATCAACCACAAGGATATGCAATACTCATTTACAGAACCTCCAGAGCATTGAGGGAAGTCTTTTCAATTGGTACAGTGGCAAAACTCGGGACCTTTGAAAAGCACCCCGTGGTGTGGCCAGTTGGATTCTCAGGGGTGCTTCTGGGGTGGTTGTTCTTGACATGCTCAGTATAACGGTGCAGATTATTTTAGAGGCTACATAGATATAATGATAGAATTGAATATTTCACCACCTTTGCCCCTCATTTTATTGCTCATATCTGAAAAGTCATACGAGCTTGGAAAATAGTGTAATACCCAGAGAGAGAAACCAATGTTGATAGATAAATGAAGGACTGTGACTTAACATGGTGAGCATTGATAACAGGCTGTTGCCAACACAGACAAATTAGTGTAAAAAGTAAATGTCTTAGAAGGGCTTCCCACAAGAAGAAAAAACTTCTATTTTAATCTGTCTCAAAACCCAAGAGGCGCTGTTTAAAGAAGTGTGTAAGTAGTGTCTAGTTCCTACATGCAGTCTTAAGTTTACTTACAATTTTGTTGTAAATATTTCTTTTTGATTCTTCTAGTTATTGTTCACGTACATTTTAGGTTTCTTTTGCAAATATAAATACTTTTTCATACATTATCAAAGTGAGTCGCACTGGAGTCATGATGTATGGGGGCCCAGGGCAGGCTGCCCCAAAATATCCCAAATGGCATACTGATTATTTTGAATTAAAGTTACTTGAGAAGCAAAAATGGCATTCTGACCCTCCTGTCTCTGTCCCCCTGAAAGCAGGAAATAAATCTCCCCTGTGAAAGATGCTCTCCCTGCATCCTCATCACCAGAGCCAGGGATTCAGGGCTGAGGAACCTGCATAAACAAACCTGCTCATTTACTTCCTCAAGCCTAAACTCTGCTTAAATTCCTCACTAATTATGTACCCCAAACCTAAGTTTCTTTGTCCTGTGAATTCTTCACAAATATACTGTTTCTTTGTGTAAAAGATATATATACTGCCTGCTTTATTCACTTCCTGAGCATTATTTCTCTATGATCTCCAACACGTACATATTAAACTGGTTTTTTCCTCCTGTTAATCTGGTCTTGTGTCAATTTTATTATTAGTCCAGCCATAAGAACACAAGAGGGGAAGAAAGGAGATTTTTTTCCCCAACCTGACACAGTTATTGAAAAGATTTGTGTTCCCAAACCTTTGGCAATCCAAAAAAACATCTACCATCTAGTGGTCAATTTGGCACATTTAACCAAGGGTAAAAAAAAATCTGAAGTGGTGAGCCAGCTGTTTCAAGCCATTTGAGACATTATTATTAAGACCATTATTGATTAAGACATTAATCAATATTAATTATTGATTAAGACCATTGATGATGGTCATATTGATTAAGACTTTATTATTGATTAACACCATTGATGATGACACCCTGGGAAGGCAGACAGATGATCAGGATGTTGTTTTTGTCACAACTCAGCATTAAAGGCCAGCCAAAGAATTATGCATTATATAACTAGCATTTTTGGAGCTCTGAAGTGAATATTAAGTGTTCTAGCCTATTCCCAGAGCACCATTCCCAGGCTGTTCCTAGACACTCTGAGGGCACATAGGTTCTGCAGGAGGCTCTCTTCAGGCCTGGATAACCAGACAGAGCACATGTGTAACTCCTACCTCTTCACTCAGGCTTGTGGAGGAGAAAAGATTTCTTTATTTAGAAAACAGCTCACATGATCTTAAAACCATTCCTTCATTAATGTAGAGCTGGGTTCAAAATAAAATAATAATTAGCACGTTATATATAAAAGTCATAGGTACTGTGTATAATAACAACCATGGACATTCCAGACACTGTGCTAAGTACCTTATATCCTACACATTATTTCAGAGGATTCTTAGAGCCAGCCTGTGAGGTAGACGGGCAACTGAGGCTTGGAGCAGTTAGGTAACTTGCCTAAGATAGCACATCAATTGTAGGTGGTGGACCCATGATTTGAAGCCACGCCTAGCTGATCTCAATTTCCATGATTTCACCCAATGCTATACTTCCTAGCTTATTCTTAATCTAAGAGACAGTTTATTATACTTTACTGAGAAAAGAACATTTCTTCTCACTTGTGACAGTTGTGGGCCCCTTGGCGCAAGCCTATTTTCTAGGCTTCAGATTTTAATTTCTTGCTTATCTTACTATTCCTTAGTTATTATCTGCGTACCAACACTCACAAAACTTTAAACTGTTTGAGGATTTTAACCTTACTTCCTTTCTCTTCTGTCATGACTATAATATTGTTTCACCAAATAGAGGTCAGCCCACAGATGCCCCCATGATAAGACACCTGATGCAGGGACCCCGCCTGCTCCACTAAAGACGGCTCCTACTTCTTGTAATTTGGCTTCTTCTATGAGGTGGAAAGAAGAAAGCAAAGAAACTAACACTTAGTGCCTTATAACTCAGAGATTCCGTAGGGAAACTTTAATTTCCATTTTGAGACTGAGGAGAGACAGAAAATGACTTGCCTAAGGTCTCAGACTTAGCAAAAGTGGTAAAGAAGTGTTGGAACCCAGGTCTCTCTGATTCCGCAGTCCAAACTCCTTCCGCGGCACCACATGGCCACTTGAAAATAACCTCTTTCTTCTAGGTATTTAGAGTACAAACTAGAACAAGGCTTAGCAAGGTACATGTATTTTTAAACTCAATAATCTGTTAAAGAATATGCAAAAGGGAACAATGCTAAATAGATGCAAAGAAACACAATGCTAGACAAATATGCAGAAGCTTTCAGCTTTAAGGTCTGAGGCTTGGCTGTGGAATTGTGGGAAATCACACCAGCAGGACCACTTGCCTTACCTTGGGAGCAACATGAAGTTAAGCCTGTCAGCTCTGTCCCTCTCTGCCTTGTACAGCTGTGTCCTCTCCTCCACCAGATGTTCCAGGTTTCGAGAATATAGCTGGAGACGTCGGATCAAGGTATCCATATAACTTTCATTTTTTTGGTCATGAAATAGTCTGTAGGTAGTAATAGATAAAGAGCTCTTATGCATTATTAAGAAAACATGAACATCCAATAAAACAATGGGCAAATACAATGACCAGGTAACTAAACAAAGAAAAAATAAAAATGGCCACACAGCCTACACAGCAAAAAAAATTTAACCTCAGGAAACATCAAAGACATAGAAATAAAATGAAAAAAAAAAAGGAAAAAAAACGAATGTTAGAATAATGGTAATCAATGTAGGTAAGAGGGAGGAAAAATGTACAGTATGACCTTCCCAGTGGGCAATCTGGTAAAACGTGCCACAGGCCTTAAGAGTGCGCATACTGATCAGCCCATCAGTTCTACTTCTAAGAATTACACTAAGAAAACAATTTTGAACGTGTTGAAAGTTAACTACAAAGAAAGTCACTGCATTCTTTACAATAGTAAACATTTGCAAATAACCTAAATGCGTCACAAAAAGTAGCTAAAATATTATGATACAATGGAATATTCATATATCATTAAATACGAATTAGAATAGTTAAATACACAGAAAGATGCTACCTCTATATTGTTCAGTGAAAAAAGTCAGTTTATAAAACAGCAAAAATTATAATTTCGTTTTTAATTTTTGAAAACTGGTGGTCATCTATTGACAAACAGTTGGTGTTTTTACTTTCTTGTTTACTTATTCAGACTTTCTAAAATTTTAATAATAAACAATTTGCAATAAAGGGAAAATGTTTTTTTTTAAAGGCTCTTAAATGGAAGTGTGAGAGAAGGACCAAGAAAAGCAAAGCTGAGCCTTATATCATCTCCTCAGAACAGAGAGCCAGGGTTCTAAACCAAAAAACCTAACTCTGGATTATTTTGTTAGACCAAGGAGACTTAGATGAGATGCGAGCTTTTTGTGACACTGGGAAGTATGACAAGCCTTGGGGCAGAGCTGGTCAGAGGCACAGTGAGTTCCCGTGGAGTCACGGTGAGAATCAGAGATAATGTTCATAACATATATATGGCACAATTGAAAGAGCTGCACAAATCCTACCGTTTCATTACTACAACAACAGCCATTAAAAGTTACCACTTCTGCACTCAAGGAGAAGATGGCCCACCTCAGAAGCCCGCGGGATGGGGAGGGACTTTTGTTAGAAATTCAGCACATGTCTGAGTCCTATCACAGACCTATCTGACTGGAAACTGCCAGGCTTGGGATTAAGAGAGGGAATTTTTTAACAAATTCCCCATGAGATGCTTACTTGAAACCACTAGTACAGAGCCTAGTTGGTGAGAAGGGTGAGGGCACAAGTGTAATGGATGAAGATGGATTATCTTACTTCATGGTGAATTGATTCCATTAAAACAGCTTTCTCAACCTTGGCTGCATATGTGAATCACCAGAGGAGCTATTAAGACTCCCGATGCCCCTGCACCCCGGATCAATTACAGCAGACTCCCCGGGGTAGCACTCAGGCATCAGCCATTTTAAAGTCTCCAAAGGTGATCACCACGTGCAGTCACGTTTGAGAACCACCCATATAAGGCTGGATCTCGGGGGCCCTGTTTATCTTCCTGAGTCTACATTTCATCTGTCACATGTACAATCTCACCTGCTCTTAGTAACAGGTCTGTGAAGGAATGAAACGTGGGCAAGAATTAAACCGTTTACTATTTCCTGCCCCTTTCCCACCAAGGACAGTTTAGATCTACCAAATCAATGAGCACACTTTCATCAACTTCCCTCTACTTCATCTCCAGCCCTGGGCTTTTAGCCTCGTTAAGTATCTGAATCTCGGACTTAATAAGAACTATGGAAAGTTAGAGCTGGAAGGAATTGTAGAAATGATCCCGTTCAGTCCAATTTTATCAACCAGAGAACTGACACCCAGTCAGGGTAAGTGTTTTGTCCAACGTCCCACAGGAAGCTATTATTAGATCCTAGTCTAGAAACTGGATCTCCTCATTTTTACTCCAGTCTTATTTTTCTCACTCCGCAGTGTATCTAACAGAACACATGGAAAAATCTAGAATTCAATCTTACTGGATAATTATGTGCTACTTTGTTTTTGACCATGAATTATAATCTGATTCATGACACAAGTCTTAAGTACCTAGGACCAAAGTTGCTGATATTAAGATTTTTAAACTTTTAAGAAGCTTGCTGATCTTAAGAAGGATCTAGGGGCTTTACAGATTCCCAGGACCCACGCTGGACTTCTAAATCCTAATTACCTGCAGAAGGCTCAGGGAACTATATTTTTAACAGACATACTTGTGATCAGTCAGAATTTATTTTTTTTATTTTTATTTTTTTTTGTGAGGAAGATCAGCCCTGAGCTAACATCTGTGCTAATCCTCCTCTTTTTGCTGAGGAAGACCGGCTCTGAGCTAACATCTATTGCCAATCCTGCTCCTTTTTTTTTTCCCCCAAAGCCCCAGTAGATAGCTGTATGTCATAGTTGCCCATCCTTCTAGTTGCTGTATGTGGGACGCAGCCTCAGCATAGCCGGAGAAGCAGTGCGTCGGTGCGCGCCCGGGGTCTGAACCCGGGCCGCCAGTAGTGGAGCGTGCACACTTAACCGCTAAGCCGTGGGGCTGGCCCCAGAATTTATTTTTTAATCAGGCAAGTTTGCCCTTGAGTATTTAACCTTTCAAGTGATTATTTCACTGAGAAAATGGTCTGTTAGTCTCCATATTATTTTAATTTTTTTAGACAGGTGTTGTAGTCTGAATTTTATTAGAATGGGCATTCTCATTCTTAGGTGCCGCTGAATGTCAACTATTATTAGAAAAATCTGAAATTAGTGAGAAACTAAAAATTTCAGCAATACCCAAATATCTTGGCCAGCGTATTCTCAATTTTCTTGAAATCTGGTCTCTTTTCTGGATCTTCCTCCCAGCAGTTTTTCACAAGTAGATAGACCTGGAAGAAGAAAGTGGGTGGGTTAGATCAGGGGGCGTATCCCATCCTCTCTTCCATGATGGGAGTAATTGAGGCAGGGACTATTTTAAAAACATCACAATTCCAGGGGGCTGGCCTGGTGGCACAACAGTTAAGTGCGCGCTGTGCTGCGGTGGCCTGGGGTTCGCAGGTTCGGATCCCGCACGTGCACCATGCACCGCTTGTCAAGCCATGCTGTGGCGGCATCCCATATAAAGTAGAGGAAGATGGGCACGGATGTTAGCCCAGGGCCAGTCTTGCTCAGCAAAAAGAGGAGGATTGGCATCAGATGTTACCTCAGGGCTGGTCTTCCTCACAAAAAAACCCCAAAAACATTACAATTCTGACAACGAGGATGAGATCGCCCACTGGTCCGCAGTGTGTCTTGGGCATTGCCACTTGCACATCCTTCCCTGCCCTTCAATTGGGCCCTGAATTAATGAAAAAGGTGATACTGATTTGGACGAGGCTGGATTGATGGGAGAGACAAAATTGCTCTGCAGACATGTGCAGGCTATAAGTTGAGGAGGGCATAGTAGGGCTCGGTGACTATGAGGCAAGTGACTCTAAAGGAGAGGGAGGCTCTTCGACAGTAGTTTTCAACCATGGCCGACAGTGGTTTTCAACCATGGCCAATAGTGGAGTCACCTGGGGAGCGTTTACAAAATTTCTTATGCCCAGACCCCACCCCAGGAGATTCTGATTTAATTGGTTTGTGAAGGAGTCTTAGTAGGTTCTCAGATTTAGCAAATAAAAATACAGGACACCCAATTAAACTTGAATTTCAGATAAACAATGAATAATTGCTTTAGCAATTAGTATGTCCCAAATATTGCATGGGCAAAGGACAATATGTAATATATCTGTTCTTAAGTTCCCCAGGCGATTGTTATGCCCAGCTGCAGTGGAGAAAAGTGAGGAAGGGGAGGGTAGGGGTTCAGAGGAAGAGGGGGATATGAGGAAGCCCATGGAACCGTCATCTCATTTGCTACCACTTGTTTGCAGCTTTTGTTGAATCAAAAAGCTTGGTGAAAAGCATTTGTCTTAAATAAAATTTGTTCTTCACTCTGGCCAAAAACAGGATCACAAATGGTATAGATGCAGTCCCTGTCTGCATTCTCTGACTTAACGAGTCCCGAGAGAGAGAGAGAGAGACTAGACCATGGTGTAGCCTCTGGTTGCCTGTATTCACCACTAGATGATGCTCCTGCCTTCTAGATGATCTGCCTACTGCCTTAGAGAGGGATGGACAAAAGCGAATGACAAATGGGCTGATGGAGCACAGCAGAGTGAAGCGGTGGGTCCTCTTCTGGCATTGCCAGGTCACCTAGTTTCAGCACTGTTTTCTATTGGAACCAGCTACTAGATATGAAATCTTAGTCTTCATTTCCAATTCAAGAACCATCAAACTACACAAGTGAATTGAGGAGGAGGATGCTTTGGTGAAAAAGATTTTAAACAACATGTGGATATACTCAGACTGGAAAGGAGGGTTTGAAAAGGGATATGCTGATGTGTGGGAAGGAATCCAGAAAATCCAAGAATCCAGAAAAGCAGGAGGAAAGGAAGGAATGAGGAGGCAAAGACGGGAGCAGTTGTACCTCAGAACCTTGGGGCTACCTCGTGCCTTTAATGTTGAGAGAGAGAGAAGAGAGGTAGAAATGGCTCCTTCACACCCGCAGCATCTCCCAGGGTGCTTGTAAATTGAAGGGAAGTGTTTTTATCTTTGTCCCGCAAGGAACAAACATTTCCTTTTTTAAGACCATAAATACTTAAAAATACTTTAGTTATTATCTTATGGGATTATAAAAGCTCAGATAAAATTCTAAAAAAACATTTAGAATTTTTTCACAGGCCTTAAAGGCCTGTGTGAGAGATTATTAAAAAAATTAAGCAAATGCAGGGAGAAAAGCTCCATTTCCCTCAGAAGAAGGAAGAAAGGAGTGATGACACTTCTCTAGTGTTTCTAGATGTTGGCATATTTATTTTTTAATCAGTAGGTACTATTATAAGCCTAATAAGTGTATCACATGGACATCTTGCTCTTTTAGCTCCTAAAAATTGAGAATGTGATGTGTGCATAAGAAGCCAGCTCTTCCCTGCGTTGGGGGAGACGGAAAGGACCTGGGGAGTGTGGCAGGCTGATAATGGCTCCCAAAGATAATGTTCATGTCCTAACCCCTGGAACCTATGAATGTCACCTTATTAGGAAAAAGAATCTTTGCAGATGTGATTAAGTTAAGGATCTGGAGATGGGGAAATTATTTTGGATTATCTTGGTGGGCCCAAATGCAATCACATATATCTTTATGTAGGAGGGAGGTAGAGGGAGATTAGATGACAGAAGAGGAGAAGAGAACGTGACCATGGAGACAGACATTGGAGTGTGTGGCCACAAGCCAAGGAATGTCATAGCCACCAGAAGCTTCTGGAAGAAGCAAGGAATGGATTCTTCCCCTACAGCTTCTGGAGGGAGCATGATCTTGCTGACAACTTACTTCAGACTTCTGGCCTCCAGAACTATAAGCAAATAAATTTCTGTTGTTTTAATCCACCAGATTTGTGCCAATTTGTTACAGCAGCTTGAAGAAACTCAAACAGGGAGGATGTACTCACTTCCAGCTCTTTTTCCTCTGCCATTTCCAGGAACAGATCTGGGCGGAAGGGTTTTACTCCATTGGAATTCTTCACTCTGAAAATTTTCTCTGATGGGTTGAGAATAATTCAAATGACAAGAAACAATGCAGTGTGAAGAAATTTTAGCAGCAGCCAGATTCTGAATTGGTTCACCTACCCTGGATGGGAACCCAGCAAGAGTATTGCAGAATCTGGGTGAGCACTCAATAGATGGATGTTGAATGAATACATAAGCCACCAAGTGACAAGCTCTTACATCCACTTACGCCCAGAAGGTTACCTTAAGTTAAGGCCACTAACCCCTTAAAACTCAACTCAGATTCCACTGCCTTCGGTAGGCTTCCTCTGACCAAGACTCTAACCCACCCTGCTACATCCCTTCGTCACCCCCGCCCCCAGACAGTTAACAGCTGGCACATAATAAGTGCTCTATAAGTGAGGATTGCTTGAAGGGAATGAAACATTTCCCCTTGAGAAGACATGTGACAAAAACTGTAGATCTTCTCTGAGTAAGAACTCAAATATGTATGTTGGTCCCACTGGGGTGATTTAGTTCAGGCGTTAGACACGTGTCTCTTACTGGAGTCAGAAGGAAAATGGAAAATTATAAGGGAAGATTCTTTAATTAACAATAATACCGACAATAATGACACCTGGCAGTGGTACATTGTCTTCTGCTTTTCAGAGCACTCTAACACTCACACTGCCATTTAATTCTTCCAAAATCCCTGTGACATGTGTAGCACAGGTATGCCATTACTTTCACAGATGAAAGGACTGACATTTGGTCACAAACAGATAACAGTCTTGGGGAGCCTAGAATGCAGGCTCCCAGAGGGGGCAGATAAAGGCGTCAGACTCTCACCATTCTGGTCCCGGCAGCTCAGTGTGTAGAAGGTTTCCCTCCGCAGGATGATCTCCTGTGCGATGATCCCGTAGCTGTACACATCCCCTTTCTGAGAGATGCTGGCATGGCGGAGGTGCTCTGGGGCTGTCCACAGGTCTGCGCATTCAGCATCGAGAGTGCAAAGTTAAGGGGGTGAGCGGCCCGTAGGTCTCCTGCTTTTTTTCTTTAAGTCCTTACATCATGCACGCTGAATATGAGTGGCCTTGAATTTGTATCGTCACAAACTTTTGAGGAGTTGAACCTAACGCCAGTGATGGGGTAGAACACTCGCCTTTTAAGCTATGTAATGCCAGGATTTGGGCAAGGTCATATGGCAATATCTTCCCTAAAACTGCTAGGATCATAGCCCTGAAAACCCTCAAGGTCTACCGAGAATAGTGCCTGGTGTATAGGAAGTGCTCAGAAAATAGCTGTGGGATGAACGCAGTAGAGTAGGAGAGACTCACAATTTAATAGCTTATGGGACATATGGCATAAACCTATGAAAGCCTTTATAAATATAAAATATATATATTTATACATTTTTATGTAATTTAAATATATATTTAAAAATATATTCATACATTTTTATATAATATACAAATATATAAAATATAAAAAATATATTTTACCCATATATATGTTTATAAAAGAAAAGAAAGACAGCACACTTAGACTATCATTGATATTTTCCAGGCGTATTATACTGGCAGCCTCCAAGTCAGCTGTCACCCATAGACATGTTTTCTTTGATTCCCAGAGTATTTTTATGCACATATAACTTACTCACATTTTACTACTGTGCCTGCCTTTCCTAATGCTCCCCGTCTAGTCTGCTTCACACAGGTGAAACGCTCCTGTGTCCTGTGTTTGGCTCCTACAGACACTGGGGTTTTGGATCCTATCGCATATCTTATTAATAACAGGGGCATACAATTAATTTTCCTTCAACATCCCTTGGAAGTTTTCCAGGATCACCTAGCTCCTTATAAACAATTTGAGATTTCTATCTTCAGCAGTTGCAATGAAAAAATCAATAGATTCATGTTGTTAGGTACAGTGAAATGCTTATGATGAAGCACATTTTCCTCAGTTGGTTTTCCAGCCAAATGTTCATTGCCTTTTTGAATTTATGTCTTGTGAATTTATGTGCCTTGATTCATGGACAATTGATCCTAATGGTTTGGGTTTGCAGGAAAGGTAAGTAAATCTACTTAAGCTAAAATTTCAGGTACCTGACAGCACAGATAGGTATAACTGAGTGATGTTCAGGAGGATAAGTGTGACCTGCAATTATCTGATTTTGTGTTGTCGTGAGTCATCTAATGAAGGAGACTTGTTTTACCACACGATGAACCGTGCTTGGCACACAGTAGGTCTTCAACAAACACCTACTGGATTGAGTCCAATGTCATATTATGCTTGATGTGACTGAAGAAGTAGGGGCAGAATTGTAATTTTTCTTCTATTAAGTGAAAACTAAATGATTGCAAAGTAGAATTAGAAATAGAATTTAGTTTTTGGGTCTAGGTGGTATTTTGAGGCATATATGGGTGTTAGATTTCCGAGGCTGTTTAACTGAGTTATAGTAAAGAATGGGTAAACATTCAACATGAAAAGCCCTTTATACTTTACAAGTCACTTTTCCTTGTGTTACATTTTTGGCCCTCATCACAATCCTGGGAGGGATAAGTAAGAATATATAGTATTGATAAGAATGTTTTTCTTGTCATTATAATTTCTTATCATTATCACAGACAAATGAATGATGTCTAGAATTTGGAAATAGGTCTCCTGCCTTGTACTCTATCTTCTTGGGCAAATCTCTTAGCCACCCTGAGCCTCAATTCTGTCTTTTATGAAGGAAGAGGGTTAGACTAGATGATTTCTAAAGTCTCTTACTATTCGAACCTTCTCTATTTTTTATCCCAGTTCTGCTTCCACAAGCCAATAAGTTCTTCATCATTTCTCACTGATATCAAGGGACACATAGACGAAGGAAAGCCACAGAGGAAATCTGTTCAACTCAAGAAGCACTTGTTGAAAACTGACAAGGGTGAAGTGCTGGAGAACGAGGCAGCTGTTGTCTCTTGCAGCTGTTTATTTTCTGATCAGTGTCATCACTTTCTGAGTGCCTCATGTGGGCTTGTGAGAAAATGAAAAAAAAAAAAATAGTGGGAAACTAGTAAACATTTCATTCATTACAGACCTTTTCTTGGAGGTAAAATGGAATTGCAGCCAAAATCGGTGATCTTCACCACCATTCTACTGTCCACCACACAGCTGGTGGATTTCAGACGACCATGGACTTCTATCTTACTGGAGTGCAGGTATGACATGCCCTGTAATTTTTCAGACGACAGGAAAACAAGGAGATATGACACTCTTCAGCTGCTTGATCATTTTAAAGAAAGAAATGATGTTGTGAAACCATTTCAGCATACAGATAGCGTCATATCATCAGATTTTAAATTTAGTTCCATTAATTTTACTTTAAAAATATTGTTAAAGGGGGCCGGCCCGGTGGTGCAAGCGGTTAAGTGCGTGCGCACCGCTGTGGCGGCCCGGAGTTCGCCGGTTCGGATCCCAGGCACACACCAATGCACATTTTGTTAGGCCATGCTATGGTGGCGTCCCATATAAAGTGGAGGAGGATCGGCATGGATGTTAGCCCAGGGCTGGTCTTCCTCAGCAAAAAGAGGAGGATTGGCAGATGTTAGCTCAGGGCCGATCTTCCTCACACACCCCCCCCCCCAAATATTGTTAAAGCTCTAATATTTGCCTAAACACTGAATCTAGTTTTGAAGTCTTTTTAGGTGATACAGTAAAAGGCAATTGTCTAAAGACTCTGGTTAAGTAGTTATATGCAATATGAAACAAAGGGTTGATTCTATTTTTTTTTTTTAATAATTGTTTCTGTTTACCAGTTATTTTGTCTGTGACCTTGGGTATGTCTCTGGTCTTCTGCTACCTCAATTTAAAAATATGAATAGTAAAGGCTTGCCTTTCTGAAGCGAAGGTCTAGGCTAGATTATTTCTTAAAATCTAATCGGTTTCATTCTATTTCAAAATAGAACCTTTCATTCTGTTTTGAAACTTGGGAAGCCCGTTTTCGGCTGGTGTGCTTCCCCCTGGTGGGCAGAGGTGTCATTGCAGAAACTGGGTTTCAGCCTGGATCACAAGAGTGAAATGTGGCAAACAGAGTAACGCATAACATTTTTTTCAAACTGATTCTGATCCTATTTGACTTTCTGGTGATTTAATACTGTATAAATAGCTCATTCTTGGGACCAACTTTTCTACATTTATGAATGAGGCCTTGGTTACTGGTATCGACTTCTCTTTTCATATCATGCCTGGGAATATACACGTCCAAATTTATTACTGCCTCATGAAAGATGTTTGCCTGTCCTTAATATTTTATCTTAAAAAGTTGAAGATACAGTTGTCTTGCCTGCAGCCTTATATGATTTTGATTTCCAGCAAGTCTTTGAAAATGGTACCCCAAAACCAGGGTAGAAAAAGTATAATAAAAAAATAATAATAGCCAATATATACTGAACATTTATTTGTACCAGGCCTTGTAGTAGGCACATACATTATTTCATAAAATTCTCACAACAACACTATGACATCGGTACTATTTTTATTATCATTTTACAGATGAAGAAACCAATGCATACAGAGGTTGAATAGCTTGCCAACTCTGTTTTTTCTATATTTAATTTTCATAAATGTCTTTTGTGTTTGTAATCTCTTACCTTAGCAATGTCATACAAGACAGAGATCTTAAACTCCCAATCCATGAATGTACCATCAGGGTAGGAAATTGTGTCATTTAAAACTTCCTGAACAGGAGAAAAAGAAAAGGAAGAAGATGAGTTGTCTCAAGGAGGGATATTGTAGAAAGACTATTACAGTCAAATAATGAATCTTCCAAGCATAAGGCCTTGGGCTCAGGAACAAACTGGAACTCCATTCTCCTGGTTTTCCTGAACATGTATTTCTTTTCTCTCCTACTTTAAAAACATTAGCTGGCTTTCACCACAAGGAGATGAGCAGGAGATACCCATGGTATTCCAAATCCCGGTTATTCCCCAAGATGCGGATAAATGAATGAGCAGATACCTGCCTGGGGAGTAGGCTGGTGAGCCTGATTCACAAGTGATTGGGCTGCAGGTCCTGTCTTATTAAAATTATACTAGTGTTTTTAAACAAGGAATTGCTATTAGGAAATTCATTCACTAGGCTTATGTTTTTACTCACATGATCAACTGCATCCACTGGCTTAAGAGCTCTAAGTTTTCTTTAAGTTTAGTAAGTCCTCTGTCAATAAGACAGAGTTCTTGGATTCTGTGTGAATTGTATGACCTCACTATTTTAACATGATGATGCTTCTATCAAGGTACAGGTATTTAACTAAGCTAATAAACTATTCTTCACAGTAAAAACTCTAATAACCTAAGAATAGTTTCTTGTTTTGGGAAAAATCCCAATTTGACCTTTAGTTTTAACTCAGGCACTGTACCAATACCAATAATTTCCACTGAATGGTTCAAAGTCATTAATCTTTTCAGATAAGGCTGGCTGGGCTGTGGGTACCAGGCCAAGTTAAGGAAGGGGAGTTATGAGCAGACAGACTCTAAAGTAATTCTTTCCCTTAGCACCTGACGTATTTTATGTTTTTATTTATTTGTTTGTTATCTCTTCTCCTTATGAAAATGTAAACTCTGAGATAATTTTTGTTCACTGCTGTATCTGCAACATCTAGTTCCGTGTCTGGCGTGGAATAGATGCTTAATAAATATTTGTTGCATGAATGAATCAATTGTTCCTAAACAAGGTTAGCCAAGGTTATCATATATTTATAAGACGGGACGCATATCGTCTTTACTCTGTCTAGGGAGAAACTTTCTCATTTGTTTCCCCACAAAGGTAGGTTCTGATGGGAGTTGCTGTGGTTTCAAGCTACAGGGATGACACCAGGGAGGTGACTGTAGTTTGCCTGGGCAAAGCCGGGAAGCATATTGTCTTTACTCTGTCTAGGGAGAAACTTTCTCCTTTATTTCCCCACAAAAGTAGGTTCTGATGGGAGTTGCCATGGCTTGAAGCCTACAGAGATGACAGCAGGGAGGGGACTGTAGTTTGCCTGGGCACAGCCTTTGCTTTGAGGTTCGTGATACAAAGGAGTGGATGAGCTTCCTGTAGGAGCTTCTGTTGTCTGCTCCCAGGGTGAGTAAGCAGCGCCAGAAGGTGGCCCAGGACCACTCAGATATCTGACGTTTCCTACCTTAGAGTAGAGAGCCAAAAACACTATGGGTATGATAGCTAAATGTTGACTGGATGTTTGAAGTGAAATAAGTCAGAGGGAGAAGGTCAAATACCATATGATTTCCTTCATTAGGTGGTAGATAATAACAACAATAAACAAACACATAGAGACAGAGATTGGATTGGTGGTTACCAGAGGGGAACGGGGGAGGGAGGAGGGTGAAAGGGATAATTCGGCACATGTGTGTGGTGATGGGTTGTAATTAGTATTTTGGTGGTGAACGTGATGTAATCTATGCAGAAATAGAAGTATAATGATGTACACCTGAAATTTATACAGTGTTGTAAACCAATGTTACTGCAATAAACAAAAAATTAAAAAAAAAAAAAAAAAAAAAAGACCATGTGAAACCTTTTGACCAGGCTCTGTTAATTGGTATTCTAAAATTTCTGTCTCATTGAAATTAAATGAATGAAAGATGGTCTAGCCCTCATATGGAAAACATTTCTAATTTTGAAGGACTTGAAATTGTTATTATTAGAAATGTTTTATTTGAATGATAAATTTTTTATTTCAATGATCATTTTCAGCATCAATTTAAATTATCATATGGTCTTTCTCCTATGACCTTTTGATTTGATGCATGAGAGTAATATTTTTTCCATTCATAGCATTAACCATGTCTGATTGTATTGTGCTTTTTATATGCAACTGGCTTACAATTTATTTATAATTTTTCTATCTATATTCATAAATATAGTTAGTCTTTAATCATATTTTAGTATCAGCTTTATGCCAGCTTTGTTGAATGTTAAATGAATTTAGAAGGTGTTCATGTTTTTGTTTAACTTTAGAACAGTATTTATATAGACAATGAGAACTATTCATTGAAGTTGAGAAGAATTAGCCAAATCTGGTAGTCTCGGAAATGGAAATGATAATTTCTCGTATTATTATTGGCCTACTTAAGTTTTTACTTTTTGAGTCAAATTTTCATGATTTTATTGCTTCTGAAATTTTATGGTTTTTTAGATTTTATAATTTAATAGTCATGAAGTATTTTTTCACAATTGAAAGCATCTTTTTTCATAGCTTTATTTTTTATTCCCACTTTTGTGTATTTTTATGGTTGTTTTAAAAATTTTAATTAGAAGTATGAGAGGCTTGTATGTTTTATAGTTTTTTCTTAAAAAACAAACAACTCATGAGTGCATTTTAAAATTCTACCTATTTTATGATTGAATTTTGAAAGTTTCTTTTCCTTAGTCCATAGTTATTCTTCTAAATTTTGCATTGAATATTTAGTTTATTATTATTATTTTTTTAAGAGATAGTAGCCTTTAGGGCTATGATTCTTTTTCTTTGAGGATAGATTTGAGTTTGCGCCATACATTTTGAAAGCTACTCTTCTTGTGGGGTTTTTTCCTGATTGAAGCTTATTGAAAAATTAAAAATTTCTAGGTGATTGGTTTAAATTTTAAAAATTACTTTTAAATGTCATTGAATTATGAATATTTGGACCCCTTTAAATCTGCTGCTGCCCCCAATCTTAGGATCCTGGCTTTGTTATGGAGGAGGACATCGAGGTTATTAAGAGATACAGGGTCTGAAAATAGCCCGAAGGCAGGGGGACCATACATTCTGGTTTATTTGAGGCCAGCTGCCATTTATGTGTGCTCTTCCAACATCATTATTACAGTACCTCTTTTCACTCTCAAAGTATCCTGATAAAGTGTATGGTCACCTACCCAAAGGTATTGAAAAGGCTGAAAGCTCTCATAATGCATGCCCAGAAACTGCTCCAAGTGAGGTTCAAATGTTCCGCTTCCCTTTGAAGCAATTATCCCTGATTCCTTCCTGCGCCTATGCTTTTCCCATTCAGTTCTGTTTCTGCCAGACGCCTGACTTTGTTTCTTGTATATGAATGTTTCTCGCATGTGCCCGCCGTTCTGAACTATTCAATGATTTCATATTCCCAGCTTGATGCTTGGTTCTTCTCAAGAATTTGACTCAGTCTTGTCTTACTTTCTTTTTCTGCTTTGAACTTGCTCAGCCAAAATACCTGACTCCATCTGGCAACTCCTGGGCATTCTCAATCCCTCACAAGGGAGAGAAGAGTAGGAATTTAGACAGTAGCAGAACCAGGACTTACAGACTAATAACCAAATGATTATTTGGTGCTATCATAATGACCATCCATTTTTCTTTTAATACAAAAGCAAGTATGCAAGTAAAATAAAATGAATTTTGAGATAATCACTCACTTTTCTACATCTGTTCTCTGTTTTTTAAGTCTACATTCCCGATATCTTTTGGCTTTTTTTTTTTTTTGGTGAGGAAGATTGGCCCTGAGCTAACATCTGTGCCAATCCTCCTCCATTTTGTATGTGGGATGCTGCAACAGCATGGCTTGATGAGCAGTGTGTAGATCCGCTCCCGGGATCTGAACTCATGAACCCCAGGCCGCCGAAATGGAGCATGCGAACTCAACCACTACAGCCACCAGGCCAGCCCCTGGCTTGTTTTTTTGTAAAGATATAATAGGACCGATTGACAAAATCTGAGTGATCTAGTTTGGTAAGCATATGGACCTGCAAACTTTTCCTGATAACTCTCTGATATTATTTCACTGGGTGAACATTTAAAATTTCTACTAAATACTTTTTTGTCCATATGGTTGACCAGTTAGGAAATTGGAAGTGATCACGGTTCCTTACCCGGAGGGATCCTCTTTCACAGTATTCAATCACTCCAAAGATTGTGGTATCAAGCTTCACTGTGCCGTAGAACTTGGTTAGGTTGTAATAGTCAATCTGAAGCAACTGAAATAACATGTTTATTTACAAAGCAAGTCAGCCAGAAAGGAGTGCTAGAGTAAAAATTAATATGCTAAAAAACCATGTCATGTTTTAGATCTTTGGGGAAATGTGTTGCTCTTGATACATTGGAATGTCAGTACATTCCTTACTACACCTTACATTGCATTACACCTTACTCGACAGTCTTTCTTTTGTCAACAAGGGAACTTGAATATAAACCTTTGACTACTCTCAAGTCATATCAGGACCATTTTCTAAGACATGCTGGTGGATTTCCAACATGTTTTACACCATCAAACATCACTCTTCAACATCTATTGGTAGAATTTTCAACAAGAAGTATAGTCACCCATTTCTTGGCCTGAGGGCCTCTCTGTCAGCAACCCTAATAATGCCTTACTCCACCAAGGATCTTAGTGCTTAGGGAAAATGGAGTGAAGCTATTTGTCGCTTAAGGGTTTCAAGTAAGGGACACATACCTTGTTCAATTCTATTTTCTGTTTCTCGGTGAAATTGCCATCATTGTGCTTGAGATCTTTTAGAATCACTCGCTGCAAAGATCAATTGAATTAAGGAGATAATGTTGTAGCATGACCACTTATGTGCATATTATAATAATTTGTGTATCTATCTTCTCACTATACTGTAAGCCCTTGAGAACAATGACAGTATTTTATTGATGTTTATATCCCTGGTGCCTAAGACTTGGGATATGGCAGGCTCAAGTTTGGTTGTTTCTTTAAGAATTACTAAATAAAAAGGAAGGAAGGTAGGAAGGAAGAAGAGAAGGAAGGAAGGAAGGTAGGAAGGAAGGAAAGATGGAAGGAAGAAAGAAGGGAAAGAAAGACGGAAGGAAGAAAAGATGGAAAGAAGGAAGGAAGGAAGGAAAGATGGAAGGAAGGAAGGAAGGAAAGAAAGATGGAAGGAAGGAAAGAAAGATGGAAGGAAGGAA